TGCTGAAGAGGCTCCTACACAAGAGACCACAGAACTTCAATCACCATCACCAGTGAAGGCCCCTTCAGAAGAGGCCCCAGCTGAACTTCAGCCTCCCCCAGCTGAAGAGACTACTGCAGGAGAAACCCCTGCCCAAAATCAGCCTCCAGAAACTGAGGATGCCACTGCAGAAGAGGCTCCTCCTGAAGTTCCGTCTTCAGCAGTTATGCCTTCTTCTGAAATTTCGCCTCCACCAGCGGAGGCCCCTTCTGAAGTTCGGCCTCCACCAGCTGAAGCCCCTTCTGAACTTCAGCCTCCACCATCAGAAGCCCCTTCTGAACTTCAGCCTCCACCATCAGAAGCCCCTTCTGAAATACAGCCTCCACCAGCTAAGGCCCCTTCTGAGGTTCAGCCTCCGCCAGCTAAGGTCCCTTCTGAAGTTAGGCCTCCACCAGCTGAGGCCACATCTGAAGTTCGGCCTCCAACAGCTAAGGTCCCTTCTGAAGTTCGGCCTCCACCAGCTGAGGCACCTACTGAAATTCAGCCTCCACCAGCTGAGGCACCTTCAGAAGTTCGAACTCCCGTAACTGAGGCCCCTTCTGAAGTTCGGCCTCCACTAGCTGAAGCCCCTTCTGAAGTTCGGTCTCCATCAGCTGAAGCCCCATCTGAAGTTCAGCCTCCACCAACTGAAGTCCCTTCTGAAGTTCGGCCTCCACCAGCTGAAGCCTCATCTGAAGTTCGGTCTCCACCAGCTGAGGCCCCTTCTGAAATTCAGACTCCACCACCTGAGGTCCCTTCTGAAGTTCGGCCTCCACCAGCTGGGGCCCCTTCTGAAATACAGCCTCCACCAGCCGAGGCCCCTTCTGAAGTTCGACCTTTACCAGCTGAAGCCTCATCTGAACTTCAGCCTCCACCATCAGAAGCCCCTTCTGAACTTCAGCCTCCACCATCAGAAGCCACTTCTGAAGTTCAGCCTCCACCAGCTGAGGCACCTTCTGAAGTTCGACCTCCACCACCTGAAGCTCCATCTGAACTTCAGCCTCCACCATCAGAAGCCCCTTCTGAAGTGCAGCCTCCACCATCAGAAGCCCCTTCTGAAGTGCAGCCTCCACCATCAGAACCCCCTTCTGAAGTTCAGCCTCCCACAGCTGAGGCACCTTTTGAAATTCAGCCTTCCCCAACTGAGGTTCCTTCGGAAGTTCGGCTTCCACCAGCTGAAGCCCCTTCTGAATTTCGGCCTCCACCAGCTGAGGCCTCCTCTGAAGTTCGGCCTCCCCTAGCTGAGGCCCCTTCTGAAGTTCGGCCTCCACCAGCTGAGGTCCCTTCTGAAGTTAAGCCTCCACCAGCTGAGGCCCCTTCTGAAGTTCGGCCTCCCCCAACTGAGGTCCCTTCTGAAGTTAAGCCTCCACCAGCTGAGGCACCTTCTGAAGTTCAGCCTCCCCCAGCTGAGGCACCTTCTGAAGTTCAGCCTCCACCAGCTGAGGTCCCTTCTGAAGTTCGGCCTCCCCTAGCTGAGGCCCCTTCTGAAGTTCGGCCTCCCTTAGCTGAGGCTCCTTCTGAAGTTCGGCCTCCCCCAGCTGAAGCTCCTTCTGAAGTTCGGCCTCCCCCAGCTGAAGCCCCTTCTGAAATACAGCCTCCCCCAGCTGACAGCCTCCGCCAGCTGAAGCCCCTTCTGAAGTTCAGCCTCCACCAACTGAGGCCCCTTCTGAAGGTCGGCCTCCCTTAGCTGAGGCTCCTTCTGAAGTTCGGCCTCCACCAGCTGAAGCCTCTTCCGAAGTTCGGCCTCCACCAGCTGAGGTTCCTTCTGAAGTTCAGCCTCCCCCAGCTGAAGCTCCTTCTGAAGTTCGGCCTCCACCAGCTGAGGCCCCTTCTGAAGTTCGGCCTCCTCTAGCTGAGGCCCCTTCTGAAGTTCGGCCTCCACCACCCGAGGTCCCTTCTGAAGTTCGGCCTCCACCAGCTGAGGTCTCTTCTGAAGTTCGGCCTCTGCCAGCTGAAGCCCCTTCTGAAATACAGCCTCCTCCAACTGAGGTCCCTTCTGAAGTTCGGCCTCCATCAGCTGAAGCCTCTTCTGAAGTTCGGCCTCCACCAGCTGAGGCCCCTTCTGAAGTTCGGTCTCCACCAGCTGAAGTCTCTTCTGAAGTTCGGCCTCCCCCAGCTGAAGCCCCTTCTGAAATACAGCCTCCACCAACTGAGGTCCCTTCTGAAGTTCGGTCTCCACCAACTGAAGACCCTTCTGAAGTTCGGCCTCCCCCAGCTGAAGCCCCTTCTGAAGTTCGGCCTCCCCCAGCTGAAGC